ACCTATAGTCTTATGTATTGCAGAGGGACCGCAGGAAGCCTCCTTCACGGGGCACGTTGTAGCCCCATTTTAGGTATTTCAATCAGTTATAGGCAGAAGACGGACTTACAAGCTTTCTATGGCGATGCTTTTCGCTATTCCTTTCTCTCCCCCTCCACTGTCTACTTTATAATATAATGCAAGGAAAACCAAGATTCAAAAGACATCCAAGCATCTTAATATTATTCCCCCCTTTTCCACATTCCAACCATGGCTGGATCTCTGTATCCCAGAACCCTGTTATTCCCAGGTTGTACATATATCATTATTTACCTCTGTCTCACTTAGCCCATTGAGACCTGTCTAATTGTTCTCCCTTCTGCTTTGTTCTTCCATTCCCCTCTCCCTACTTGTATATTGCCCCCTCCCTAGCACCCAAACTATCCTGTGTCTAATCCCTGCCCTGTTCCTTGCTATTTTAAGGTACATGTAATTTTATTTCACAGAAGGGAGAAAGCAAGCCTCATTCCTTACAAAAAGGTGTGTATTATGTTACAAAAATGTGTATATAATGTGTATATCTAGTTCTCTTGTAAAGTAACCATATTTCTTATTCATATTTTGACAGGAGGAAAGATACTGAGTTTCAGGCTTTTGTGCTGAGTATTCTAGAGTGTTCTGTCTTTAAGATAATCATGATCAGCACCATCTCAACTAATGCCTTTTTTGTAGTCTTGTGGACCAATTATGAAATAAGATTCAGCTTGTTCAGACTTTTTGAGGTAAGCAGACAATATGGGTCCATTGTTTTCTTTTCACCTATTTTGTTTTTTAACATGTTGTATGATGTTAAGAAAATTTTCTGCAGAAAAATTCTAAGGACCTTAAAAATATACTCTCAAATGTGGAATCTGACAGCAGCAATGGCAACAAGAGTGATATGGTTTTTACATCTCCTTGAATTCCTTTTTACAAAACAGAGAAACTAGAGAGCAAGAGTAAAACCAAAGTTCATGAGCAACATTTACAACAAGGTAGTCTCACTAAGAGCCAGAAGAACTGCATGGTATCAACTTCTGTTCAGGAGGAAGCCGAGGGAAGTCAGTATGAACTGGGAAGTGTGGTGGGCTGGTGTAAGAAGAGCGCTTGGTATTAGGGCTGCAGTCCGTCCCAATGCCAGGGGGAGTACCTTCCCGGTAATGTATTACGAGACTTCAGCAGTCTAGACTATATGAACTTTCAAACATAATCAGCTAGAGGTCCCTGAAAGGACAGAGCCTCATACGTAGGAGAATTACTGGAAATGGAAGAAAAATTGAGCTGGTTAGAAACATAGGGAGAAAGGAAGAGGAAATCCAGATGAAATTGGAAGAGGGCAATGGAGCCAGAAAAATCTCTAAAAGCATGCTCCTGAATTTTTAGGTATAAAACAGGAGAGCTCTATGAAGCTAGAATAACATCTTCTAAAAGCATAGAATAACTAATCTCGCACAAAAAGGACAACAAAAAGACTGAGGTAAAAATCCCATACAAGATTCTTATAAGAAAAAAGAATAATGGAGAATAACTAGGTGCAGTGGGTTAAGTGTTGGACTGCTAACCACAGGGTTGGTGGCTGAAACCCACCAGTCACTCTGAGGGAGAAAGATGAGGCTGTTTGCTCCCATAAAGATTTGCAGTCTCAGAAACACTAAGGAGAAGTTCTACTCTGTCCTATAAGTTTGCTTTGAGTCAGAATTGACTCAGTGGGAATAGATAATAAAAGCCCACCAAAAGACATATTCACAAAAAGAACAAACCTATTGAATAGTGGCGCTATAGGATAAGCACTGGTAAGTGGTTCAGATCCGCCAGCTGCTCCTCATATGTGTCACTATGAATTGGAATCAACTCAATGGCACTTAACAACAGCACCAACATAGAGTACTATTTCAAAACAAGGCATATGTTTAAGAAAACAATTATGAACAATTCCGAAAAGGAGGGTGAGAATTGTTGCAGGACTTGGGAATTATGTAATCAGTGTTGCTGGATTGTAAAGGTAGACCTTGTTGTGTTGGTGTATGTTCTACTGTGCATATTCTCAACAGCAATAATAAAGATAAAGCAAGAAAAATAATACAAGATATAGATGAACATAAATGAGGTGACAACTTAGGAAAGGTTTAGAAATAAAAGAAAATCATTTCAGAATTAAGACTAAACTAGACTAAGAGTAATTAAATGCAACAGATAATAATTTAAGATGACTAATGGGTGAAATCGACCACTTGTCTGTCAGTTTGTTGTACTGTGGTGGCTTGAGAGTTGCTGTGATTCTGGAAGCTATGCCACTGGAATTTTAAATACCAACAGGGTCATCCATGGTGGACAGGTTTCAGATGAGCTTCCAGACAAAGGCAGACTAGGAAGAAGGAATGACAAACTACTTCCAAATATTTAGTCACTGTAAACCTTATGAATAGTAGAGAAACACTGTCAGATATAGTGCTGGAAAATGAGCTCCTCAGGTTGCAAGTCACTCAAAATGCGACTGGGGAAGAGCTGCCTCCTCAAAGTAGAGTTGACCATGACAACAAGAATGGAGTAAAGCCCATGGGAGAAAAGCCCACAGGACCTTCATTTGCTGATGGGGCACAACTCAAAATGAAGAGAAACAGCTGTAAACATCCACTGAAAATCGGAACATGGAATGTATGAAGTATGAATCTAGGAAAATTGGAAATTGTCAAAAATGAAATGGAACGCATACACGTCAATATCTTAAGCATTAATGAGCTGAAATGGGCTGGTATTGGCCATTTTGAATCTGATGACCACATGGTTTACTATGATGGAAACAACAAATTGAAGAGGAACGGTGTTGCATTCGTTGTCAAAAAGAACATATCCAGATCAGTCATGAGGTGCAATGCTGTCTGTGATAGGATAATATCCATGCACCTGCAGGGAAGCCCAGTTAATACCACTAAAGCCAGTGAGGATGGAATAGAAGAATTCTACCAACTTCTTCAATCTGAAATTGATCAAACATACAATCAAGATGTATTGATCTTTACTGGTGATTGGAATGCAAAGGTTGGGAGC